CGTGAAAAAACGGTTCAGGATTTCAGACCTGCAGCTGCCAAGTCTTGACAATCATTTTAACTTGTGTTCATGTCTTGGAAGGCCAAGTCATGAAAGACAGAAGTCTTTGTTATACTGTTGAAAGTCTATACAGCAAAAAGTTTCAAGACTTGGAAAGCCAAGTCTCAAATAGTGCAATCATTGTCAAGACTTGAGGACATGGAGTTGCAAAAATGTAGCAGTTCAAAACTTGGGATACCAAGTCTTGAGAGAAAAATGTAAGATTTCAGACCCGTGGCTGCCAAGTCTTGACAATCATTTTCACTTGTGTTCATGTCTTGGAAGACAAAGTCATGAAAGACATACAGTAAATCCTACTTATACTGATGAAATTCTATACCGCCAAAAAAATCAAGACTTGGAAAGCCAAGTCTTGAATAGGGCAATCATTGTCAAGGCTTGGGGACATGGAGTTGCAAAAAAATGTAACAACATTACAAAACTTGGCATGCCAAGTCTTGAACACAAGGTGTTAGATTTCAGGAATGTGGCTGCCAAGTCTTGAAAAACTTTTTCCAACTGTGTTCATGTCTTGGAAGGCCAAGTCATGAAAGACATAATTCTCGGCAAGGGTCTAATGTTGAAATTCGTTACCCCGACAAGTTTGAAGACTTGGAAAGCCACGTCTTGAATAGTGCAGTCATTGTCAAGACTTGGGGACATGGAGTTGCAAAAATGTAACATTTCAAAACTTGGCATGCCAAGTCTTCAAACAAAAGGTGTAAGATTTCAGACCTGCGGCTGCCAAGTCTTGACAATCATGTTCACTTGTGTTCATGTCTTGGGAGACCAAACCATGAAAGACATAATTCGTGGCAAGGGTCTAATGTTGAAATTCTTTGCCCCAAAAGGATTCAAGACTTGGGAAGGCAAGTGTGGCAGTTTCTAAACCATTTTCTCAGGAACCTCATTTTCACACTTTGAGGCCAAATTTTGCAATGCACCATTCTTAAGCTGCACAATGCCCATCCCTACCGCTTTGGACTGCCAAATCTGGATGGGTGTTACACTTGGTACCGTTGTCAAGTTAGGGGCATGAATTGAAAAATTGTCACGTTTCAGAACTTGGGATGCCAAGTCTTGAAAAACAACCCATCGTGTTCATGCCTTGGATGTCCACAGTCTATTGTTAGCAAAAACTAGCTGCAAACAGTTTCAAGACTGGGGAAGCCAAGTCTTGAAGATGGCATGATGTCATGAAATTCCACATTGTGTCTTTTGTAAAAGGCATGTGCAAGCATACAACACCAAATGGTTTCAAAAATTGAGAAGCCAAGTTTTAAGATGGCATCATGTGTAAAGAATCATGCGGGCACAGCCCCACATACGGCAGAAAAAACACAGGTATAAAGTTTCGGCTTGTTACACAGTTTAGTACATGGTTGTAAAATGTTAGGAGGGGTTAAAAATTGGAAGTGGAAAAATATCATTTCGAACACTTGAAGGCCAAGTATTGCAATATATCATTCTTGGGCTCCAGACTTGGAGTTCCAAGTCGTGAGCACAAGACCAATCTTTACCACTCTGGACACCCAACAGGAAACATAACAAGTATCAAACTACAGAACAGCTTGTTTGCAAGTTTTCAGGCTCGGGGCGGTAGCAAGTGTTGAAACCTATGATTTTTCAAAAGTCGCAAAGACTAACTTCATTGGTGAGCCAAGGCAGAAAACCTTGCAACAAAAACCCAAGTCTTGAGCTTGAAGACTTGGAAGGTCAAATAGTTAACAAGATGGGTCAAGTTGAGTTCCAGACTTGGAATGCCAAGTCCAATCAAATCCAGAACTTGGTGCAATGCATTTGGACAAGCTAAGGGTGAACTCTTACCTTTTTGTTTCAAAACTTGGGATGCCAAGTCTTGAAAAAAATGTGTTCATGTCTTGAAAGACCAGGTCATGAAAGGACAAAAAAGTAATACTGATACAGCCAAGTTCTGAACCATGTTAATGGTAACTACCATGAATCAACCATATGTGAAAGACCTGGGAAGTGTAGCCAATTGAGACAAACATGAGTGGTTGGACTTGGATTCAAGCCTTGAACTTTTGAAGAACTCATTTGCATCACATCGTGAAAAACCTTAAAGTCTCAGTGATCACGTTTGTCAGTGCAAGACTTGAGAGGCCAAGTCTTGAAGTGCATTTAAGATTCGCTATTGTGCCAAAACATTTTCTGGGAGACCGAACCATAGAGATTTTGCAGACTTGGAAAATGACCAAGTCTGAATTTCATGTTCAGCTTCCACATTTAATAATCATCATCAATAACAACATCATATTGAAATTGAAGCCCAAGAGAAGCAAACAAGCAATTCTGTTCCTCTTGGACATTTGGAACCTTGAATGGAAATCCCCAAGGGAGGCATGATGGAATGTCCCTCTAAGAGTATGGTTTATCTAGAAGAGTAACAGTGCCCTGTTGGTACAATGTGTTTTCTGTCAAGGGCAGCTAAAGTTCGACACCTTTTGGTGCAAAGACCATAGTAAGCAAATTCAAACTGTTCCATCGTTACACTAGCCACAACTATTCATATCTAATCATGTCTTCAAAAACAGTGTGTTTTTGTTTAATTTGGTTGAAGGTCTGCCATTTGAAATCCTAATGTCAAATCAGTCGGTATTTAGGTTCCTATGCAGCTCCATTCCTACAACCACATTTGGGAACCTGATGGTTGGAGCATGCAATCCACTAGAAGTGTATGAGTATAGTCATGTATATGCATTGAACACCTGTAGATCACACCAAGCCTCAAAAATGCCACGCACCAGACAAAAAAAGGAACTATGCATATAGTCATCCAACTCATTTGTGAAAATAAGAATATGAAAAAAATCTAGACTGGAATTATTCCTGATGAATTCTCACAACTTTGAAAATGAAAGGGAGGTGTATGTATGTATTTGCCAGCTACGGGACAGATTTTTGTTTAACCCTTTTCTTGGAATGGATACGAATTCAATTGCCAAGGCCTGGAATGCCAAGTCTTGGAATTGAAGTTGATGTCTTAATTCAATTGCCAAGGCCTGGAACGCCAAGTCTTGGAATTGAATTTGATGTGTTAATTCAATTGCCAAGGCCTGGAACGCCAAGTCTTGGAATTGAATTTGATGCCTTAATTCAATTGCCAAGGCCTGGAATGCCAAGTCTTGGAATTGAAGCCCATTATTTTAGGGGTTATGATGCCCTTGTTCAGGGCTAGTCCCTTGTTCAGGGACGTTATCCCCACCATCCCCAGCTGAAGGCTGCTGCAACGGCATCGCCTGTCCAGGAAACCTGCAGGTACAAATTAATGGTAGCATATTTATGTTCATGACATGTGTGCATGGTGGTATCACAAGTGGATGACAACTGGGGGACACTGGATGGTATATTATGATTTGTGATGGTGGCATATGTGCATGACTCTTGGTGACACTATATTGGTATCATATGTGCATGACCATTGAGTAAGTATATATAGATATATAAATACATTTATGTATATATTTATATGTTCATGATACTTGATGGTCATTGGCAGTGTGTCTGTGTATGTGCTTGTGTTTGGTTCATAATCATGATACTCGTTGTTTGAATTACAGCATGTTTTTTTGTTCTGACCTGCCCCCACCCCTTCAGGTTTCAATTTAAGCATGACAACTGTGTGTATGTGTGTGTGTTTGGTTCAGTAATCATGATACTTGTTGTTTGAATTACAGCATGTTTCTTTGTTCTGACCTGCCCCCACCTCTCCAGGTTTCAATTTTAGCATGAAAACTTATCCCGAGAAAATCAAAAGAAACATGTTGGAAAACCATCCCCAAATTGAAAAGTAAAAAACAACTGCATTGTTTCACCCAAAATGAAACTATCATTTTCAAAAACCAAACTATCACAATCAAAGAACAGAGGTTATGTTTTTACACAATTTTCAAACATTTTTCATGAACATATGCTACAAAACAACTACTTTTTTGCCGAGCGACGGTGCGATCTCCGACTGTTTCCAACCGTTTCCCCTCGGACACCTTTGGACCTTCAAAAAAAAAACGGCGTTGCGCGGAAATGCTTATTTGAAAAAAAATGCGGGTTGAACAAGTTTTGGCCTGATCATGTTTCCGACTGTTTCCGACCGTTTCCGACCGTTTCATTTTTTCTGAACGATTAATTGGACCAATTCCATTTATGGAAGGCTGATCCAGTGCAAACCCGTGCAAACCATGACGCTTAAGTTTTTTTGTGCCACCCTTGTGCGCGTACACTGCACCAAATATTGCATCTTGACCTTGATATCCAATATTCCCTAAAAATCACAAAATCCCAGGAGCTCGTGAAATTTGATAATCCAACATTTTTTATGGAAAATCCCCATGTTTGTCGATGATTTAGCTCTTACAATGGGATATAAATATACATGAAAATAATGAAGGATATAATGATTATAATGGGATGTAATGGGATATGTACCACCCTCTGGTCATGTGAATGGGATATAATGCGGTCTCATGGGGAGATACTGGTGCTATAAGGGAATATAATCGGGTAATAATGATATCTAATAATATAAGGTGCACCCCAGTTATAAGTTGGCTCATAACCCCCAGTAACTGTTTCGATATATCTACCATAAACCCAAGTTATCGGAGTTAGAAACCATCTTAGCCTGGAAATCACATGGCATACGCATACACGGGGATTGATGGCCGTAGAATGGGATGTAATGCACATGCCCGGCCCGTGCCGGGGCAGTTTTGAACATTTACAATCAGCTATCAGAAATCAATGGCTATAGGAAAGTTTTTGAAATCCAGAAGCAACGCAGCTTCTTGAAGTGCATCAAGAGTATTATAAGCCACCCATATTTTGATGGTTTGAAACTGATAAAATTGGGGATGACGGATCCAAACTTGCTTTACCCAGAGCCAGATCCATAACCACTTCTTCCCACCCCGCGTGGCTGGCTCGCACCATAGCTGCTATAGCTAAGCATCCGCGACCATTCCCATGCTACGGGCCCGGGTGGCCAACATGTTTCGGTGGAAGGTCTTCAGCTTCGCCGTCAGATTGACATCGGGTTCGTAGCCTGGCCGTGCGTTGCTCCCAACACCCCACAAGGCGGCCTTGTAGGGGGGGAAATTGGAGAAGTATGGAGGTAAAATATGGTAAAACGATGATTAAGTGATAATTGCCTATATAAATCAATAATAATCAATATAACGGAGTATCATGGGTAGGTTACTAAGGCCCAAACTAATCAGCTATAATCATGGATAAACAGGGGGTGTCTTGCAGCCAATCAGGAGCAGGGTCCTCGAGAAATCCCGCTCTCGACAATTCTTGTGGTTACCATCGCAATGGAAAATCCATGAAAATCCCCTATTTACAGATGATGTTCCCATTTCAATGCCCAAGTAGTGGGTTTTCCAGCCAGCAACTTTGATTATCAGATGGTATAGGTTTCCATAGTCATGGGGGTACCACCAGTTATCATCCAGTGATAGAAGGATTTTCTATGATAAACCATCCAGCGATAAAGGGGAACCCCCATGACTGTTGAAACCTCCATTTCATGAAAAGAAATACTTACTGGTGCTTAGCAGGGAATTTTCGGGAATAATCCACAATAACTATCAATAATCATGCCAGCAACCCCCAGCAACCCATCCATTCCCTGCTAGCCACCAGTAAGAATATTTATCATTACCTCATGATATCTCCATGAATTCCCCATGAATTCCACCAGGATCTGACCAAGTTGCTCACTTTCCCCAGGCGTGCAGAAGGCACCAAACTCTGCAAGGCCTAGTCGTGACAGACGAAGTCAAAGCAGTGTCCCATAGATCTGCACATAGGCTACTACCCTCCAGTAGACTCACAATTTACATCAATTTACTATGGAAGATGGACCACTTATAAATAATTTACCTGTTAAAATAGTGGCGTTGTGTTTTTTATCCATAGTATTATCAGTTTACCAGAGGGTATGGGATCACTTTTCTCTCAAAATAGGTTTTCCCCTCATTTTCAATGGGTTTAGGACCTCATTTTCCCTATTAAAATGATTTAAACTGGTTATTTGGATGGTAAACTCCATTTCTCCATCACAGCACTTTAAAACAAGCGCCCAGTTGCCTTGACATGCCCATGGCTGAGCTACCAAAACTTGTTGGACACGGGATTTATGGGCTACAGTTGCACGGGGTATATCTATATATAATGGGTATATCATGGGAATATCACCAATTTACTATGATATATATTATGATATGCATACATAGAAATTTACATATTTATATATATATATATATATGCACATAATTATAATTTATAGAATCCAAATGTGGGATGTAGACTCTGAAAAAAACCTTGCAGTATGCATGGATTGATGACCTTCCCCCTTGTATGGCTACACAAATTCAACAAACTCGACCATGACACACATGGGTTCACAGTCGTTTCCACTGCCAACCGGCAACCGGGTCCCGCTCTGCCCGAAAATTTCATGATGTTGGCCTTGTGAACATGCATGTAACGTATGTGTATGAAAAAAACATAACATCACATTACATTATGATATTGCAAGACAATACACTACATTTCCAACATGTCCTACATTTCCTTACGTTGCGTCGGATTGCATTCTGCGACATTGCATTAGGTTGAACAACTCTGAATACATACATGCTTATATACTGACATATACTTACATTATGACGGTACAGTGCAGCACATTCCATTCCATTTGATTCCATTCCATTCAACTCCATTCTGGCTGAATTATGATGATTCACTAACCTGAAAATAGCTGTTGTCATATGGCCATTTGGGGATGATTAATGAAATTTCCTGAAATGAACATCTGAAACTCTTCACGTGGGAGAAAACCAATCCATTACAAGAGCAGTGTTCAAACCCTGTGCAGTGCCATTGTACTGGTTAAAAACTCTTCAAACGGATCATGATCATCCGCAATTTGAAGAGTATAAAACTCATCACATCCATCCTATGGCTATGGGTCAAAACCCTGGCACCTTGTCCCCAAAATAACTGGTAAATGCATGGTAGTCATCCCACCAAAATTGATAGGCTTAGACCCACCCCTCAAAGGTCGCTGCTCAGTTCCCTGCCTCGTAAAGCTGCTGCAGCGTCAGGGACAAACACCTCGGCTTCCGCTGGCAGCTGGTGATGATTTTTTGAAGCCCCGGATGATGGGAAGAAAAGATAAGAAAAGTAGAAACAACAGGAGTATAAGAAACAACTATAGGTATAAGAATGGAGATTAAAAAAAGGTAATGGAGATAGTCGCGAAAAAAACATATGAAAATAGAGAGAGTTAACAATACTGATGAATAAAGGACGAACATGGACGAACAAAGAAGGAAATACAGAACAAAAATACGGAGAAGCATAGGGAGAATTAACGAACCGGATAAACCCACGAGGCAACTTCTTCCAATAATGAGCACCAAATGTTGGGAAGGAAGGAAAGACAAAGGAGGTGGTGGAGGATCGAGAAGTAAAACAAGGTTGCGTGTGACAAAGCTGTATGTGAAAGATGGTCTGTGACAAAGAAAGATGATGTGTGTGACAAAGTTGTGTGTGAAAGATGGTGTGTGTGTGAAAATTGTGTGTGAAAGAGAGCGTGTGACAAAGATGTGTGTCAAAGATGGTGTGTGACAAAGTTGTGTGTGAAAGATGGTGTGTGTGACAAAGTGGTGTGAAAGATGGTGTGTCAGAGATGGTGGGTGACAAAGTGTGTGCGAAAGATGGTGTGTGCGAAAGATGGTGTGTGACAAAGTGGTGTGTGAAAGATGGTGTGTGACAAAGTGGTGTGTGAAAGATGGTGTGTCAAAGATGGTGTGTGAAAGATGGTGTGTGACAAAGTTGTGTGTGAAAGATGGTGTATGACAAAGTTGTGTGTGAAGGATGGTGTGTCAAAGATGGTGGGAAACAAAGTGGTGTGTGAAAGATGGTGTGTGACAAAGTGGTGTGTGAAAGATGGTCTGTGACAGTGTGTGAAAGATGATGTGTGACAAAGTTGTGAATGAAAGATGCTATGTCAAAGATGGTGTGTCAAAGATGGTGTGTGACAAAGTGGTGTGTGAAAGATTGTCTGTGACAAAGAAAGATGATGTGTGTGACAAAGTTGTGTGTGAAAGATGGTGTGTGTGAAAATTCTGTGTGAAAGAGAGCGTGTGACAAAGATGTGTGTCAAAGATGGTGTGTGACAAAGTTGTGTGTGAAAGATGGTGTGTGACAGAGTGGTGTGTGAAAGATGGTCTGTGACAGTGTGTGAAAGATGGTGTGTGAAGATGGTGTGTGAAGATGGTGTGTGACAAAGTGGTGTGTGAAAGATGGTGTGTCAAAGATGGTGGGTGACAAAGTTGGGTGCGAAAGATGGTGTGTGTGAAAGATGGTGTGTGACAAAGTGGTGTGTGAAAGATGGTGTGTGTGTGTGTGTGTGCCAAAGTTGGGGTAAAAGATGGTGTGTGTGAAAGATGGTGTGTGAAAGTGCCGCGCAGTGGCACCCCTGCCACGCAAACGCCCAGTGCCACCCTTGCCACCCAAAACGCAGGTGGGTGTCGCCAAGTGCACGCCTGCCACGTGCTGAAGGGAAGGTGGATGTCACCAAGGGCCGTGCCTGCCACGTGAAACGACGATGGATGTTACCAAGTGCCACGCCTGCCACGCAAAGTGCCGCGACGTCACCGGCGACCAATCCCAGCCCAAGCGCGCCACCAGAGCCAGCCCAGCGCCATAAGTGCCACGCCTGCCACGCAAAACGAAGGTAGATGTCTCCAAGTGCCACGCCTGCCACATGAAACCAAGGTGGATGTCGCCAAGTGCCACGCCTGTGCCACGCCTGCCACGCAAAGTGCTGCGGCGTCACCGGCGACCAATCCCAGCCCAAGCGCACCACCAGAGCCAGCCCAGTGCCATAAGTGCTACGCCTGCCACTCGAAACGCAAGTAGATGTCACCAAGCGCCACGCCTGCCACGTGAAACGAAAGTGAATGTCGCCAAGTGCAACGCCGGGCGACAAATCCCAGCCGAAACGCGCCACCAGAGCCAGCCCAGTGCCATAAGTGCCACGCCTGCCACGCAAAACGAAGGTAGATGTCTCCAAGTGCCACACCTGCCACGTGAAACGGAGGTGGATGTCACCAAATGCCACGCCTGCCACGTGAAACGAAGATAGTGCCACGCAAAACGAAGGTAGATGTCTCCAAGAAGCGCGCCACCAGAGCCAGCCCAGTGCCATAAGTGCCCAGCATGCCACGCAAAACGAAGGTAGATGTCTCCAAGTGCCACGCCTGCCAAATGAAACGGAGGTGGATGTCACCAAATGCCACGCCTGCCACGTGAAACGAAGATAGATGCCACCAAGTGCCACGCCTGTGCCACGCCTGCCACGTAAAGTGCCGCGGCGTCGCCGGCAACCAATCCCAGCCCAAGCGCGCATCAGAGCCAGCCCAGTGCCATAAGTGCCACGCCTGCCACGGAAAACGAAAGTAGATGTCTCCAAGTGCCACACCTGCCAAGTGCCACGCCAAGTGCCACGCCTGCCACGCAAAGTGCCGCGGCATCACCAGCGACCAATACCAGCCCAAGCGCGCCACCAGAGCCAGCCCAGTGCCATAAGTAACACCCCCGCCACGCAAAACGAAGGTAGATGTCACCAAGTGCCACGCCTGCCACGTGAAACGAAGATAGATGTCACCAAGTGCCACGCCTGCCACGTGAAACGAAGGTGGATGTCACCAAGTGCCACGCCTGCCACGTGAAATGAAGGTGTCAGCGCCACGCCACCAAGTGCAACTTGTGCCGCGCCTGCCACGTGAAACGCAGGTGAATGTCACCAAGTGCCATAAAGTTGTGTGTGTGACAAAGTTGCGTGTGAAAGATGGTGTGTGTGACAAATGTGCGTGAAAGATGATGTGTGTGAAAGATGATGTGTGACAAAGTTGTGCGTGAAAGATGGTGGGTGACAAGTTGTGTGTGTGACAAAGTTGTGTGTGACAAGGTTGTGTGTGAAGGATGGTGGTTGACAAAGATGTGTGTGAAAGATGATGTGTGACAGAGATGTGTGTAAAAGATGATGTGTGACAAAGCTGTATGTGAAAGATGGTGGGTGACAAGTTGTGTGTGACAAAGTTGTGCGTGAAAGATGGTGGTTGACAAAGATGTGTGTGAAAGATGGTGTGTGACAAAGTTGTGAAAGATGATGTGTGACAAAGTTGTGTGTGAAAGATGGTGGTTGACAAAGATGTGTGTGGAAGATGGTGCTGTAGAAGATGGTGTGTGACACAAAGGTGTGAAAGATGGTGGTTGACAAAGATGTGTGTGACAGAGATGTGTGTGAAAGATGGTGGTTGACAAGTGTAAAAGATGATGTGTGACAAAGTTGTGTGTGAAAGATGGTGGGTGACAAGTTGTGTGTGACAAAGTTGTGAAAGATGGTGGTTGACAAAGATGTGTGTGAAAGATGATGTGTGACAGAGATGTGTGTGTCAAAGCTGTATGTGAAAGATGGTGGGTGACAAGTTGTGTGTGACAAAGTTGTGTGTGAAAGATGGTGGTTGCCAAAGATGTGTGTGAAAGATGGTGTGTGACAAAGTTGTGAAAGATGGTGGTTGACAAAGATGTGTGTGGCAAAGTTGTGTGTGACAGATGGTGGTTGACAAAGATGGGCGGCGTAGGCGGAGGCGGAGGCGGCGGAGGCTGCGGAGGCTGCGGAGGCGGCGGAGGCGGCGGCGGGATACAGAATCAAAAACAAGACTCCCACACAGACATGTGGGGAAAAATAGTGAAACACGTATCAAAGAAACATAGGAAGAAAGTAGCGGGAGACAAGTAGAGAAAAAGTAGAGAGACAAATGGGGGAAAAGGAGGATTAAACACAGCGGCAAAAACAAGGAGAAAAATGGCTGCAGTATGTTGATGGTTTCCACCTGAAAATCACCGGTTTTTTAAAAAAATAGATCATTGACAGTAAATATAATTACTTGATCATCTAGTAATAAAAGTAGCAATAATTAATAGATAATGATACATAATAATCTGGTTGGTGGTTTCAACCACTCTGAAAAATATTGGTCCGTTGGGACTATTATTCCCAATATATGGAAAAACAATGTTCCAAACCACCAACCAGTAACAACTCAATTCGAACTCCAGCCACAACTCAATTGTTTCTTTTGCTTCAACGCGAACGTTCGCGGCCGAGGCACGGCAAATTCATAGAGCGATCCGTGGAATCTGCGAAGGCAGCTGCCGGGAGATCGGCCAAGTGGAGCAAATTCCTGGTTTTCAAAGCGGGGGTCTTCATCTTTTGAGTATGAACATATATGAACATGGTTGAAACTGAATGAACATACTAATAAAATATATAGATATATATTAATATTATTATTATTATTACTATTATTATTGTTATATATTCATATTTATATATATATATTTAAAATATATATATATTTATATATTTATATATATTTATATATATTTATATATATGCATATGAATATATGAACATGTTCATGAACCTAGACCCTCCAAATAACCTAAACAAATGGTCAAAGTATAGTTGATTTTGGGGTAAACACAGGGGTACAAACGGAGGGTCAGGGAAAATGCATGAAGTGGCATGTTTTGGATTCTATTGGTGGCACTGGCAACGATGGCATGGGTCAATGGGATTCGTATCTCCAAGAGGGGAAACATCGTAGGGAGGGGGTGACACACATCAATCACATACTGTACGCCGCGGACATCACGCAATTGACAGGGTGTTCCTACCTCGTTGTCAATTCCTGACTACCTCGTTCTTGGGGGGCTACTACCTCTTTTTGTAACCTAAAATATTGTATTTTCGGCAACCGGGGTATGCCCTAATACATCCTAATACTATTCTTCACTGAACCAAATAAAAACCATCAAACATGTTAACTGACAGTGGTCATACTAATAGAAATTATGTGATTCACGCCGCCACATGAAGAAGAAGAAGTTTTCGCAGAGGCAGCGCCACATGAAGTTTATCCACGGATTGTTTCAAGATTGGTGACTCGGTCTTTTGGTCGAATTTTCAGCCCTTTCTCAAACAAACAATGGCCGAAAACCTTACAGCCTTACGGCGACCATGCGAAGAACCTGGCTGAGTTCGGCTTGAAAAAGTTAAGCGGATCTTTTCGTGCCACTGGAAAATCCGGAACATTCCGTAACATGTGAAACATGTGACATCACTGCCCTGAATTCCGACATAAAATGGATTGTCAATCTTGTTGCGCCTACACCCATATATTTGATTCAAGCATATTCAAGCTATAGGATGCTACAGGCTACAGCTGATCAGCTGATCAATGGTCAACCGGTCTTCTCTCAACGTGTGCCCACCAGTTCCCACGGAGGCGGGAACTGCGTCCTGACCAGAACCCGATAGCCACACACTGCATGAGGCATGTCTGGTGGGAGGTTCAAGACGCAATCTTTCCCCAGTAAAGGTTCCCGCAGCACATCCGAAAAGGCCGCGGGCAAGCCACTGTTGCGCTCCTCACGGATGGTACCGAAAGCGTTTTGCCCCTACAGAATGATCACCGTTAGAGTCACAAGTTATCTTCAAGTTATTGATGTATTGATGTCCATTTGGGGGGACTGGCACCATCCCGAAACCCTGCAACGGGCTTGGGCCAACCTCAGAGCAATCCCTAGCCCAGTCCATGTTTTCTTGATGTTTCGAATGTGTTCTGATTTAATGCGATCTGAAACTGAAAACAAGATGATAATGAGACCAACTATAAATATTACCGTAATTAAACACCAGTAACAATAATCACCACTTGGACAATGTTGACAATGATAACTGGTTGGTGGTTTCAACCCGTCTGGAAAATATTAGTCAATTGGGATCACTATTCCCAATATATGGAAAAAATGTTCCAAACCACCAACCAGATAATAACTCCTCATCCATTCATCCCAAGCATGTTTTGCCCAATCCCATTGCTCCGGTCGAGGGATCACGGTTGGCAAACGTGCCACCCGGCCATCGAGAAAATTGCGACGTGTGTAGTCGTTGATCATCAACTCACAACACGCCTTCGTCCTCAAAACGGGCCGTGCCCCGAAGATGGGAGGGGTTACCTTCTGGTAAACTGTTACATAACTATGGAAAATCACAATCTTTAATGAACTTTAATGGGTACATCAACTATCTTTAGGGCCATTTTCAAAAGCAAACTGTTGAATTATCAAAGGGTAAACATCACCTTGTAAAGGTTACAGAGCTTTGTGGCGGTTTTATGAGGTGGCATGGGAGGTGCCCCGGATGATTTACAACGGAAAATCCTTCTACAAATGGATGATGACTGGTGGTACCTCATGACTTAGGAAACCTCCTTAAGTGACAAGTGCTGGAAACTTGGGAAACCATGTGGAGGCACCATGGGATGATGGCGTTGTGGCTCCGTGGCAGTATCTATTGGAAGACCTGAAAGATCCAGAAAGACCAATTCCCAGAGTTGTTCATGGTTTTTTGTTGCTTCTACTTTAAATCGCATCAGCGAATCCCATCGTAATTATATGGCAATCTTCCCTACCAATCTGTTTTCAAACGCTGCAGCGACATCAGTGACCATAGCTACACCATGCCAAGCTTCATGCCATAGCTGGTACTCGGCAGAAATTTGGTCAGATCCGTTTCAGGCCCCTCAGGTCGTTCACCGAAACAGGCTCCAGAGGAGGCAAAGATGAACTTGCAGCCGACTCCTCGTTGGTGCCAAGCTACCAACCAACCAAAGCTATCCAGATTTTCTTCACTTAAAAGTCTATCCTCCAGGAATCAAACATGGGAGATCCATGGGAAATCTTCAGACATGATAACGTTTTGATTGGCAAAATATATGGGAACATCGTCTGCAAAGGGGGAATGTTCCAGCCTAAGCCATGTTTGAGGACATCAGAAGGTAGCAAGGCAAGAATATGAAGAACACACCCGCATATGCCAACTTGGAACAGCAACACACACGTAACATCAAATAGGGTAGAAATATAAGGAGGATCAGTACCGTCGGCTGCTATACAGCAGCACGTGCTTGCACGGCCAGTACCCTTGCCAGTGGGCGAAGGGGCGGCGTGCCCAGCATCCTTTTACACCGTTCTAAGCCTCACGCAGTTGCAACCCCGGAGACCACAGAACCTATTCGGACAATTCTGTTAATCGTCTCCCCCTCAGTGCGGGCATGAGATAAAGATTTTACCAAGAAATTCATGGGCTGCATGCCCAATGGATTGGGCCTAAGATCCTGCGTGGCGTGGCATACAGCGTAAAATGCAGCCGACCACGCGTGCGGAACAGAAGGGGCACCTGATGCCGAAAGGATTGGGGTACCTCTTAGAATACGGGCAACAAAGTAGGCCAGGAAGCCCACTGCTCCTTGGCAGTCCAACATTGATGCAATGCGACGAGATCCGCATAAGGAATCAGACCATAATTAATAATATACATATATATATATATATACATACATGTATATATATATATATACATCAAATAGACTTGGAGTAAATGGAGGTTTCCAATTTCATGAGGGTACCCCCAAATCATCCAGTCGTCATGGATGACCATGACTTAGTATTGAAACCTACGGTGATTTGGGGATCGCCATGGATCGCCCTGGATCGCTGTGTCCATCGTCAAGATGACCATGGCCCTGGCTCTGGCTATTGACATAAAATGACCATTTGCCTTAAAAATAAGGATGTTCCCGTTCGCAAACTGTTGTACGGCACACACACACATATATATATATATGTAGTCATTACCAGAGGCTAATCCAAAATGTTACTGTTTACTGGAGATGTTGTGTTAGGACATGCGCTTGTGCCCAATTCTCATCATTTGGTGGAAGAAACACTCATTCACCAGCTTTGACTGAGTATGCCATCTGGGTACCAGGGTTTTGACCCATCATGTAAAGCTTACTCTCTGGTAAACTGTTCCATAACTATGGAAAATCACCATTTTCAACAGGTAAATCAACTATCTTTAGGGCCATTTTCAATATCAAACTGTAGCAAATTAAATTACCAGAGGGTAAATATGGGTAAATCATTCTTAAGTCCTCATTAAACACCATCAAACGCCATTAACCACCATTCACCATTAAATTACCATTAATCACCATTAATCACCATTGACCCATAGCAACCTGTAGCAAATTACCAGAGGGTAAACATCACCAAGCATCTTTTCCGGCATACCTCGAGCAGATTTCGAGTTCCCTCCAGGTTCACCTGTGAGTCGTCGGTGGGTCGATACCCTCGACTTGCCCGTTGCGGTAAAGGTACGGCATATATAGGGTGAGTTTCACCATGGTAAAGGTACAAACGGAGGGTCAGACGATATCTCCAATAATCTATTATAGAATACATACATATATATATATATGAAATATATTATGTAAAATATATAATATATAATATAAAATATTTATTGCATAATACAAAATATTTATTGTATAGTATATATAATATATATATAATATCTATAATATGTATATAATATCTATAATATATATATAATATCTATAATATCTATAATTTATCTAAGATTTAAAAGGTATGCTTTCATATGGTTCTATCTTATGCCAGAGGTTCGTGGCGGTTTAAGGTGGCAAGTTTGGTGGCAAGTTCGGTGGCGGTGGCAGTTAGATATGGCAATGTGGGTGGCAGTTTCAGTGGCAATGAAGACCTGGTGGCAAGTTTGATGGCAGAATGTGATGGCAAAAATGGTGGCAACCGTATTTTGGTGGCAAAGGGGGTGGCAACTTTGCATGGCAAAAATTGAGCCGGAAGTCCGTTTAGCAATCACATTTTGGCGGCAGCAGAGGTGTCAAAATTTGATGGCAGCTTTTTGGACAGAAGAGGTTGCAAACACCTTCAGTCACAAAAAGGCGTTGAGTGTACATGGCACATGTTGACAGAAAGGGTGTGAGAGACTTTTTGGCGGCAAATGGGGTGGTAAGTTGATGGCAAAAGTGCTGGCAAAATTTGGTGCTACATCAACTATAGAGAGAGATGACAAAAATCATGCCAGCCCTATTGCACCTTCAGCGGAGGCGACACCCACCGACCCTATGAATTAAACAAGAAACCAAGCAAATATGATAGGCTGGCAGGTTGTTTTCAACTATCCCTTTGCTGGTGGTGCAAAAGCAGCTTTAGCCCAGCGCACGCTTGTCCTTTCAAGACAATTCGCGCTAGTTTTTGGTTGCCATCATTGCCCGTCAAAAAATAAGGCATATTTTTGTCAAAAATAATGCTTATTTTGGCAAAAATTGACCTTATTTCTTGACGGGCAGGTGGGCAGCTGCCTGGGCAAAATTTCGCTCAACATTTTTTTCTGTGCACCACAATGTTCCAGCATGGCTTAGACACAGAAAACCATTAGACAAAAACACAACCGAAAGGCAATTGCTGACCAAGTGAGCTGTAAACACAACAATTTCTGAGCACTAAGTTTGATCATTCGACACCACAACAATCTTATTGAAAATGTTCGCTTGCTTTGCATATGACACAATTTCAGAAGCCGCTTGTGCAAGCCAATGGCTGCATACAATATCCTGTGGCCACGCAATGTGCCATCTGCTTTTCCCACTTACGCGTCCAGTCTTTAGCCCTTGCCACAATTTTTGCCATAGCTTTGCTACCTGTGTTGCTATTGCTTTTTGCCCGTAATGAAGTTTGCCCTTTCGTTGCCGTGTGTGTTGCCAAGGGCTTTTGCTCGCAACCCAAATTTTGCCATTGAATTTGCCGCCCGTGCTTTTACCCCCGCCACGTATTTGCCACTGTTTTTGCCACCGATGTTGCCGTTACCTTTGCCCCTGTCGGTTTTTTCCATCCATGTTGCCCTGCAGATTGCCACCGCCATTGCCATTGCCATTGCTTTTGCCCTCGAGGTTGCCATGCTTGTTGCCATCAAATTTGGGCGCCTAATAGAGCATTGTTCTTGAATTTTAGATAATCTATGATATATATATATATCCTATGTATATATATCCTATATATATATACTATATATATATATCCTATAAATATAATATCTTAAATATATATATATATTAAATATATATAATATCTATGATTTATAAATAATATATATATTATAAAATATGTATAAATAATATATATATATATATAATATAATATAATATAATATATAATATAATATAACAATAGTATATAATATATATATATAAATTATAATATAATATAATATAGAAGTTAAATTTTATCATATGTAAAATATATACATAGTATATATAATAAATAAAATATAATTGATAATATATAATATATAGTATATTTAAAAAAAGATAATATAGAAAATAAAAATAGATATAATATACATAAAATTCAAATTATATTATATGATTTAAGTAAATAATATAAAATAAATAAAATTTAATATGTAATATATAATATATGATATATAAAATAAATCTAAATAATATATAACATATAATAAATAATATAAAATATCTACAATATCTATAATAGAAAAATATATAATATATAAAAAAGATAGTATGTAATATGTAATAAATAATATATAATATATCATATGTAATATATCCGCCGACCCCTGCCTAGCCTTGGCCTAGGCGGGGCGGCGCCCGGGATCACCGGAGGTGTGCGGCAGGACCCTGTGCGTGCTTTGGCTTCGAAGGCTCGGAACCTTTCCGAGCTCCTCTATACGGCACCACTCCGTGCCTAGCTTTGCTATGCTACCTTCCTGGGCCGAAACTCCCTAGGCCCCACAAGCTGTAAAACCTTCGCAGCAGCTTTCGAAGGCCTTAGAAAACGTCAAAACCCTCCGCAGCAGCTTTCGAAGGCCACGTTTTGGGCACCCCTTAAAAACCCTCAAAACCTTCGCAGCAGCTTTCAAAGGCCTTAGAACCTCAAAACCCTCCGCAGCAGCTTTCGAAGGCGTCCCGCGTGCTTTGCCATGGCACCTCCCTAGGCCCCGCAAGCTGTTTCTACATTAGGCTTCGAAACTGCTACGTGGCACGTTTTGGGCACCCCTTAAAACCCTCAAAACCTTCGCAGCAGCTTTCGAAGGCCTTAGAACGTCAAAACCCTCCGCAGCAGCTTTCGAAGGCGTCCCGCCTGCTTTGCCATGGTACCGGCCCGCGCAAGCTGTTTCTATTGCTTCGAACTGCTACGTGGCACATTTTGGGCACCTCTTAAAACCCTCAAAACCTTCGCAGCAGCTTTCGAAGGCCTTAGAACGTCAAAACCCTCCGCAGCAGCTTTCGAAGGCGTCCCGCCTGCTTTGCCATGGTACCCCCCTAGGCCCCACAAGCTGGCTTCGAAACTGCCACGTGGCACGTTTTGGGCACCCCTTAAAACCCTCAAAACCTTTGCAGCAACTTTCGAAGGCCTTAGAACGTCAAAACCCTCCGCAGCAGCTTTCGAAGGCGTCCCGCCTGCTTTGCTCTATGGTACCCCCCTAGGCTGCACAAGCTGTTTCTATTGGGCTTCGAAACTGCTACGTGGCACGTTTTGGGCACCCCTTAAAACCCTCAAAACCTTCACAGCAGCTTTCGAAGGCCTTATATAGAACGTCAAAACCCTCCGCAGCAGCTTTCGAATGCGTCCCGCCTGCTTTGCCATGGTACCTTCCTAAGCCCCACAAGCTTTTTCTATATTGGGCTTCGAAACTGCTACGTGGCACGTTTTGGGCACCCCTTAAAACCCTCAAAACCTTCGCAGCAGCTTTCGAAGGCCTTAGAACGTCAAAACCCTCTGCAGCAGGTTTTGAAGGCGTCCCGCCTGCTTTGCCATGGTACCCCCCTAGGCTGCACAAGCTCTTTCTATTGGGCTTCGAAACTGCTACGTGGCACGTTTTGGGCACCCCTTAAAACCCTCAAAACCTTCACAGCAGCTTTCGAAGGCCTTATATAGAACGTCAAAACCCTCCGCAGCAGCTTTCGAATGCGTCCCGCCTGCTTTGCCATGGTACCTTCCTAAGCCCCACAAGCTTTTTCTATATTGGGCTTCGAAACTGCTACGTGGCACGTTTTGGGCACCCCTTAAAACCCTCAAAACCTTCGCAGCAGCTTTCGAAGGCCTTAGAACGTCAAAACCCTCTGCAGCAGGTTTTGAAGGCGTCCCGCCTGCTTTGCCATGGTACCCCCCTAGGCTGCACAAGCTCTTTCTATTGGGCTTCGAAACTGCTACGTGGCACGTTTTGGGCACCCCTTAAAACCCTCAAAACCTTCACAGCAGCTTTCGAAGGCCTTATATAGAACGTCAAAACCCTCCGCAGCAGCTTTCGAAGGCGTCCCGCCTGCTTTGCCATGGTACCTTCCTAGGCCCCACAAGCTGTTTCTATTGGGCTTCGAAACTGCTACGTGGCACGTTTTGGGCACCCCTTAAAACCTTCAAAACCTTCGCAGCAGCTTTCGAAGGCCTTAGAACCTCAAAACCCTCCGCAGCAGGTTTCGAAGGCGTCCGGCGTCCCGCCTGCTTTGCCATGGTACCTCCCTAGGCCCCACAAGCTGTTTCTATTGGGCTTCGAAACTGCTACGTGGCACGTTTTGGGCACCCCTTAAAACCATCAAAACCTTCGCAGCAGCTTTCGAAAGCCTTAGAGCGTCAAAACCCTCCGCAGCAGGTTTCGAAGGCGTCCCGCCTGCTTTGCCTTGGCACCTAGGCCCCACAAGCTGTTTCTATTGGGCTTCGAAACTGCTACGTGGCACGTTTTGGGCACCCCTTAAAGCCCTCAAAAAGCGAATTCTGGAACTGCAACCCTGCAAGCCTAGGTATCACTTCAAGGCTGCGTTGAACATGGATATGAATGGATATGAATGAATATCGACTGCTCATTGATGAATATATGTATTATATATATATATATATGTATTATATATATATATTATAATTCATTGATCACAATATAATACCAGTAGTACCGCACAAGGCGGTGGCGGAAGTTTCAAAAAATAGGAAACCTATAGGAGAGGTTGGTTGTTGTGAATCACGGATGGCAGAGCGAAGCCACTGATGGACTGAAAGGTGCTTGAAGTATCATCTTTTTTTTTTCTCTCTCTCTCTCTCTTTTTCTCTCTGTTTCTCTATTTTTCTCTGATTATCTACCTACCTACCTACCTACCTACTGATCTATCTGTCTACCTATCTATCTGTCTGTCTATCTATCTATCTACCTATCTATCTACCTACCTATCTAGCTGTCTAGTTTTCTAGCTATTTGTCTATCTATCTATCTATCCATCCATCTATCTATCTATCTATATATCTCATCTACCCAGCTGGCATCTCTCTCTCTCTTTCTTTCATCTAATTACCTATCTATCTGTCTATCTATCTCTCCCTTTCATCTGTCTATCTGTCTAGCTGTCTACCTGTCTATCTGTCTGTCTGTTTATCTATCTGTCTATCTATCTACCTATCTATCTGTCTACCTGTCTATCTGTGGTTCAGTGTCATTCAGTGAAATGTAGCGTGGTGTAGTGTAGTGTGGTGTAGTGTAATTTAGTGTTGTGGGGTGTACTGGAGTGTAGTGTAGTGTAATGTAGTGTACTGGAGTGTAGTGTAGTGTAATGTCCTGTAGTGTAATGTAGTGGAGTGTAGTGTGGTGTAATGTAGTGTAGTGTAGTGAAGCGACATCTTGACCTCCAAAAGTGGTCCGAACACCTAGTGTTTTTAATATTTTGACTTGGAAATGTGCTTCGCGCCACAACGGCGTGCTCTTTTTCGAGATTTGAACTTCCAAAAGTGGTCCGATACCCTAGTGTTTTTAACATTTTGACTTCCATATATGTGCTTCGCGCCACAACGGCGTGCACTTTTTCGACATCTCAACTTCCAAAAGTGCTCCGACCATGGTGTGTTTTGTACATTTTGACTTCGAAATGTGCTTCGCGCCACAACGGCGTGCACTTTTTCAACATCTCAACTGCCAAAAGTGGTCCGGAGCTGGTGATTTTGTGCATTTTGACTTCGAAATGTCGTTCGCGCCACAACGGCGTGCACTTTTCAACATCTCAACTGCCAAAAGTGGTCCGGAGCTGGTGTGTTTTGTGCATTTTGACTTGGAAATGTGCTTCGCGCCACAACGGCGTGCACTTTTTCGACATCTCAACTAGTAAAATGGTCCGAAGCTGGTGTGTTTTGTGCATTTTGACTTCGAAATGTGCTTCGCGCCACAACGGCGTGCAATGTTTCATCTCTCATCTGGCCAGCTGGCTCCGCACCCGCCGCTTTAGCGAGCCTACTTTTCGACCCTCCGGAGCCCCAAATCATTGGAAAAACACAGTGTTTTGCGACTTTCCTACCTTTTCACGCATCTGCATCTTCTTTCTTCTTACTCTTCTTTCTTCTAATCTTTCTCTTCTCTCTGCCTCTTCCCTGCTCTGCTTTTCATCTGTCCATATTGTCGGAAGTTTGACTTCTAAACTTCCTTCGGTTTAGATAATGACCAAATGATCCATGAATAAGAAATATTATCACTTTATCATATGCTGCATTGCGCACCACTCTAATGTGCCACATGGATCCGCCATTTTGAGAAACCCCCATGTTTGAAAATCGATCAGTTCATGACCAGTCCAAGATAGGCAAGTTCACCAAATCTTGACCATTGCACGTTTTAGTTCAATCCAACACTTCATGACAACTTATATACAATTTTCCCTGCTTGACGATCAATGCGTGTACGCCGTTTTGGAGGATCTGATAGCTTTACGAGCGTGCAGCGTATACCTCTTCAATTCTGAACTCAAAGACTCAAAACTAGCAGCATTCCAAAGCGTGTCCCAACCACATTCGAACAGTGCCCAAAACATCCCAAAACCCTGTCATTCCGCTTTTGGCGATCTTATTTCAGCTACCTCGTAGAGACGTAAAAACCCTTCGCGCACGAAAAAAAACAATTCAGGAGAGTAACCGATATCCCATAATGGTTATCATTAATAATCCTCAGCCTGTAGTTTAAAGATACTTACAGTACCAAGGGGCTGCAGGTGCATACATGCATTCAACTTACTTTGGTACTCGGTCGCTGTGCTCCTTTCTTTCCACTGCCAACGGCCCCCATACAGGCATATACATGCTATAGCATAGGGCCCTCACGTGATAGCCGCATTGGTTCATCACTCGCTTCGATTGGTTTATGGTAGGCATAACTGTCTAAAACGTGATTATATACCAACTTATAACTAAAGAGCCCCATCCTCTATTCGTGTTGAAACTCGAAAATAACTTTGGGACAAATGACAAATATGGAAACATGTAGGATAACATCGGATAACCATGGACCTCAAAATGGGGGTCGGCGGCACCAGGGCGTTAGCGCATTTATAATAAATACATCATCCACAGATGTCCCGGTGTTGAATCATCAGCCGTGATCTTACACAGTTTTCACGGGGAAAGCGATGATTGTGACTATGCTGGATGCCAACATTGCGGTCCATTGTTCACGGTGAACGTAGCTACCACAACCACGATACTAAGGATACAGACTGTACACAATACATCACAATACAATACTGTATATCGTTCTAACAAAACATTATTCAAGTGTTAATGTAGTGGTGACGCCAGATGAGTGACTAGTCTTGAACAGAGCTGGAAGGGCAACCTATCCTATAAGCTTTGATGGTGCACCCTTCCACTCTTGGCTAAAACGTTCAGCGAGCCACTCGCCATTACTTGGAACACCCCACCTTCCACTACAAGTTACAACCAGAAGGTACAAGTACAGGTTTTACTGCACAACACACTCTTTCATATCCATCCAGCATTCGGATGTGGAATGTAGAAAAAAGCTAGTCTATAGAGTCTGCTGTTCATTCCATAACTAGTAAATGTATAATAATGGTAGTAAGCAGTGGTTGTATCGTCAGTCCTAGTAATCAAATAACTAAGAACCATATTCGATACCATTCATAACCTTAGAGTTTCCATATTCAATTCCATATTCAATACCATATTCGAATAGATAGCCTTTAGATAGTTCAATAACGACCCCCAAACCATCCGCTCTAATGTTAAAATCGCCATCCAGATTGACCAAAAGTTTGGTTGGCATTTGGAGATGATTATATATGTATATAATTTGATTATATATGTATATAAACGAGTGTATTAGAGTCTACACAATGCGCAGACTTGTACTATGACAAATAAAACACTGGAAAATAATCTGGTGATCTGTCTGTATCTTTCTTACTTTACCTTCTTTGTTTGAGTGGTTATTAAGTACCGTATCTTCAACTAATATCCTTTCACCCAAAACAAACAACTTCGAATATATCAAGTCGGAGACTTCACATTCTGCCGGAGAAGTTATAACAATCCGCTATAATCAGCTTAAGATTGTTCCAAGTTTTGTGGTTTCCATTCTCAGAATTCCCCCATTCTCCTGAAACTTGAGCTTCTTTGGGGATAATTCTTAGATTGGAAATTTCAATATGATAAATTATCAAAATGAAATGGGATATGTTTTAATTGCGCTTCACTCAATCTCAATCTTAGAATTGAGATATTTCCTACAGGATGGGGCCCCAGTTCGTTAGCTGGTGCAAATAACTATGTCATAACCATAGTGTATGGTGCTTATTAAATTAACTATATTTAGATGGGGCCACATAAACCAACACATAACTGGAGGGCCCCATCCTGTATAGAAATTCACCACCATTTTCCAGGCGATCGAAAATGGCTTCCAAGATGCTCGCCAGCAAACGTCGAAGTCCGTCTCACCATCGCCGCTCATCACCTTGGACGCTGCTGAACGCGATTGCGGAACCCCCCAAAAATATGGTTAATAGTGGTTAATAATGGTTCATAGTGGTTAATCGTGTTAGTAGTGATGAATTGATGGTCATTAAAAGTGATTAATTAATAGTGACTAATAATGGCTAATGATGGTTCATGATGGCTAATAATCCAGAATATGGGGGTTTCCATAAACGGGGTACCACCAATAGCTGGATGCTTTAAGAATGTTTACAATAGTGGAAAATCCCAGCAAAATGGATGATTTGGGGGTACCTCCCATTTTACGAAACCTCCGGATTTCCCATCACCAACTAAACAAACACAAATATATGTACCATAATTCAACATTGCACTTTCCACTGACCATCTGAGGGCTGTGGCGACATTCAGTATTCTTGGCCTAAAAAATCTTTGGCGACTCACCAACTCCAAGTCACTGAAGCCAGGTGAAAAATCACCATGCCATCCTGGCGACTTTCTTCCAGGATCCACACCCCAAAATCGCATCGTGCGTTTCACGCTCTTTCACAACGTCCATGGGGAAAATCCCCAAGTCCGAGGTTTAAGGCTGGGAAATGCTGGGGTTTCATCGAAGTAGATGCGGCATGTCGCCACATTGATTTCCGGACGGTGACAGTTTCGTTGCAAGATGTCACACAGATCCAAATAAAGCGATGTAACCCCAAAAATGGACTTCAGACTTTATTCCTCAAACATGCCCCTTTGGGTGATTTTTATTCTTCTGATGATCTGTATCGGTCCTCAGGAATCGCGACTGCAGTAAACGTATCGCCAATTCTTGCGGGATGACAATCCAAGGAAGTTTCATATAGCCAGCATTCATCAAACATCTACCAACCACAACAATTGCGCCTCAAACACCGAACCACTAGGACACCTGAATATCCAGGGATTCTAGCGGATTTATCATGATTTATCCCTATGAACTTTGGCCATGGGTATACATAACTTTTTAAGACACACCCGACCCAAACATTGTGCAAATATGTGCTATCATGTGCAGATATGTGCAAATATGTGCAAATGCGTGTCCCTTTTTCCATGTACTTGGGCTCTCTCTCTCTCTGTAATACATAATTGTACACATACGCCGAAAATAGCACACATAATTTGTGTAGTTCCCACTGTCCACCATCCTTGTCAGCATGTTGCACCGCCGTGGCCGCCGTGGCCTCATCAATCAGCTTTTCGCACTCTGAGGCATCTGTGATGTCTCCAGTGACGATCCGTAGCCGCGGATCCTCCGGGACATCCTTTGCCTCACCTGCAACCAGAAAAACAAACACCGTGAAAAACGGGACGTACCGTAGCAGTGATGTTTTGACGTGGCTTTAGAACATGTTATAACCCCAACTATCTATGGATATCTATGGATATCTATGGATATGTATGATATATCTACCATAACCCCGCAGGTCTTTTTTAGGTACCCCAAAAACACCACAACTCGCAAGTCGTAGAAACGCACCACAGAAAACCAGTGGCCAATGCCTGGGAGAATCTACTGAGTCAAGAAACA